GCAATACACTTGACCATTATGACAGATATGAGAAATATCGCAAAACAAAAGCGATGCGGTATTATCCAAGCTACTAAATGATGTTGTCAAAGTTATAGCTTATCGTCTAACTTTCTGAGATAGCGGGAATTTTATGTTTCTCTATGGCAGTTACGCCCCCTAGCGGTCGAATTACGAACTTCAAACTAATTTCCAGCTATTTCTCTTGCCCACTTTGAAAATGACACACAATATTTTAAAAAGTTTTATCTTTAGTAATAAAAATTAAAAATCAACAAATGTTTACTTCTGACTTAACATGAAATAAAACCTATAAATCAAAATACTATAACTGCATAGTTATCTAAAACATGTCTTATTGTAATGTTCTTAAACCAAAAAAATATTATGAATATAAATTAAATAAAAACACAACATCTATCTGCGAAAATAAACAAAAATATTTTCTTTTCTAGGTAACTAGGTTACCTAGTTACTTTCTAGGTAACTGCTTTGATTATAATTAGAAAAAGCAATATGTGTGTACTCAATAATTACAAAATATATCCAAAAAAGTTATTATTTAAATTGAAGAAGAGGAATATTATATTTTAAAAATAAAAGCTTTGACGCCTTTTCTTCTTGTAGTCTGTTTCGATGTGATGTGTAAATAAGCCCAGCTTCACTAAAAAATCTCTCACTAGGAACACTTGTTGGTGGTGTAACCTGATATTGTCTTGCAACAGGAGAAAGAAGTTTATATTTCATCTCATTCACCTTCCACCACAGAAGTGGATCTTTATCTTTTTTTAAACGCTTTTCAGATAAATATTCCGTAATAGTTTTTCTGACCAATAGGTGTAAGGCATTAGCAGGCGGAGGTTGATCACTAGTGATTTCGCTTTCTCCTTCACTTTCACTGGAAGAATCCATTAGGGAAATCATGGTGTCTCTAACAGATGCCTGCCTTATTGACTGAAATGCACTGGGTCCTAACTTTTCGACTCCATCAGTTAATCTGGCACGCTTTGCTTTAGGGCCACTTGATCTAAAGTGTGCAATTGATGCATTTATTTGTTTTTCATGTCCAAAAAAAGAATTTTGAGAAAATCAAGAAAAACTGCTTACCTTTATACTGTAAAGGATTTTTAGTAATTCGGGGCGGTATTGAAAGCTATAACAGTACTCAATCGGGTGCTGTAATGAGACTCCTTACAGCATCCGATGCTGTAATGAGATTTTAGTAACATTTTATGGAACCAGTTCAAGTTGGTGACATTGGGTCATTAATTTTTCTAGTTGTCAATGTGACAATGTTTGTCTATGGATGTTTAAACACGTTCTTAGCATCGAATACAAGGTCCACAATGATGAGGACATTAAACTCTGAGCAATTTCTCTCATTTTGGGAGGTGTACATGAAACATTTTTGTCAGGTGAATACATTTTGTGTTTTGACAGTTTCTAATTGTCAATTCAAATTTCTATTTTCAAGTGTTACGGTGTTACCAACATACCTATTTTCCTACTTTGTCAAAATTTATTTTATTTTTGAAAAAAAAAAGGATAGAAACGCGAATTACAAAAAATAGCATAAAAAACACGTTTCGTAAGACTTAAAGCACTCATTCATTAAAAAACTCGTGGCTTCGCCACTCGTTTTTTAACTTGAATTCGTGCATTTCAAACATGTCTTACGAAACTTGTTTTTTAATATACTATTTTGTAATTCGCGACGGTAATGAAAGCTCTGCAGTATCCGATGCTGCAATGAGATTTTAGTAACATTTTGTGGAACCAGTTCAAGTTGGTGACATTGGATCATTAATTTTTCTAGTTGTCAATGTGACAATTTTTGTCTATAGATGTTTAAACACGTTCTTAGCACAGAGTAAGGCAGAGAGTTAGCTAGGCCATTCTCTATCTCTTATTATCACCTTATTATTATTATCATAATACCGATATTTTCTCTTTGTCATCTTGATAGAAATCCTTAGTAGATGGCGTACATGTCGTTAGTAATATTACAGAAAGCTGTTGACTTTGTTTAAGCGGTTTTGACATTTTATGTATGTCACATGTCACACAGTCCTTTTGCGTTTATTGTCTTATTTGTGCTTATTATCTATTTTTGCGTTGTATTTTTTACGAATAATTTTCGAGAATAATTATTGTAAAAATGTTTTGCATTGTGTGTGGATGTAGCGAAGATGAAGTTGGAAAATTATTTTGTTTTCCCAAGAATAAGGACAGGTTAGTATTTTAATTATATTAATTTTTAATTTCAATAGTATTCAAATTTTTGATAACACCGTGTCACTTAGGGTAAGAAGCAGTTGGTGTTTGATAACCA